GATGATGACTACTCTCCTTTATCAGTCACCAAGCTCTAGTTGATTGTCCGTAAGTCCGGATTTTACTTATAGGTACAATACGCACCTAGAAAGGTCTAGAACAATGAGAGTAAGGAACAATGTTTGTAAAATTAATGAAAGAGTGACTTGTGCGATAAAGTGGCTTAAAATGAGGAAGAGCTGCGGAATGTCAAATATCTGTCTGGATCCAGGGGCATGACACGTCAAGACAACTGACGTTGAAGTCACGTGCAGTGGATTTCCAGGGTGTTCTGTATGCCTCACCGAGCTCTTTGGGCTTCTATAGCGTGTTGCTGTTACCCGCCATCAGGTCCGTTAAACCAAGTATGGAGAGGGAGGCGGGGGTAGAGGAGGTGCGCTTTCCTGGTCAGAGCTGGATGGCAGGCTCGGGTCAAAGGCATGTGAGCTGTCCTGACAACCCAAAACCTCTGAGGGATAAAGGGCTCAAGAAGAACACGGAGTCACATTCACACTAACCTTAGTTTTCTATATCATTGTAAATATAATTTTTCAGGTAATCAACGTTTCTTCAACTTCATAGCAAGGGAGTTACTCTGTTTCTATGCCAACAAAAACCACACAGAATGTCCTTCGCTATCCTTTGTGGAAAAATTGAGTCTCAGCATATCCAATAGTGTACACATGCACCAAACGTACAAGGCAGTCGTCACAAGTGCTAACACAAACAGTTCAACGCTGAAAATGCAGTTTATTATCAATGGATGCACTGGTTACAGAAAATTTTGATAATTATATGTAGACATGTGTGGTGGAAGATGGACAGCTTGTGTGCATCCTTTTTGGTCATTCTCCAGCATTCCGTTCCATAAAGAAGAACTAGCAAAATGATGCTCTTGTAGAGTCGGAGTTTTGTTCCTCTGTAGTAATTGTGGGATTTCCAGATTTGCCACATCCTTCCAAAAGCAGCTCTAGCTTTGTTCAGACGTGACTGAATGTCCTCTTCGGTCCCTCCCGGTTGGACACCACACTGCCAAGATATGTTAAATGTTCTACATTTTCAAGAGTTTGGTTATTTATGGTCACTGGTTGTTGGTTTGGACTGCTTGTCATGATCTTAGTTTTCTTTGTATTTATTCTCAGTCCCATCATTTCTGCTGTGCTGTGTAGTCTGTTACTTTTTTTCTTGTATATGTTTATGTGATAGGAGTGCTATATCATCTGCAAAATCAAGGTTCTCAAGCATGGTGAATAGAGTCCATCGTATGCCTCTCAGTGTCATGTCTACTGTGTTCTTTAGTATCCGTGTCTTACACCTGTCTTTCCTGGGAAAGATGTATTGTAATTTTTTATATTGCAGGAAAAGTCTTTATAGAAAAGAGTAATTATGTTGACTTTTTTTTCTGGAATTCCAAAATGTCGTAAAATTTTCCATAGACAGTCTCTATGGACGCTGTCAAAAGCTTTCTCAAAGTCCACTAAATTAATATATATATACTTCTCTGCCATTCATTGCATTGTTCTAAAATGTTACGTATGGCGAAGATGTGTACAGTTGTTCCTTTGTCCTTTCTGAATCCTGCTTGTTCCACTCGTAGGCAATTATCTACTTTTTCAAGCTGGATTATGATGATTTTACAAAATATTTTGTTTGGTACTGATAGTAGAGTAATTCCCCTTCAATTATTGCAGTCTGTTGAATCTCCTTTTTGGGGGATTTTGACTATTGTTCCTTCAATCCAGTCATCAGGCAACACTTCCTTTTCCCAGATATCCTTGAACATTGGTTCTAGAATGCTAGCAGTTGTGTTGGGATCTACTTTGAGAAGTTCTGCTGGCAGTTCGTCTTTGCCTGGTGCTTTGTTGTTCTTTAAAGTGTGGATAGCTTTAAGGATTTCTTGTTTGCTTGGTGGTTCAGTAATAATGTCAATGTCCTGAGAGGCTGGTTAAATATCTGGGGGATTTTCAGGATCAGGTCTGTTCAAGAGGTCGGAGAAGTGTTTAGTCCACTGCATGTCTTGTTTTTGTTCTGTGGTGAGCAGTCTGCCTTGGTTATCTCTGATGGGTATGCTGTGATAATTGTTTCTACTTCCACAAATTTGCTGGGTAATTTTATGTAGGGTTTGTAGATCATGTGCTTTAGCAGCATTTTCTGCTGTTTCTGCTAGATTTTCCATAAATCTTCTCTTGTCAGCTCTGGCACTTTTCTTTGTCATTTTATTTAGTTCGCTGTATTCTAACATTAGTTTGTCTTTCTGACGTTCTGATTTAGTGTAATTTATTAGGTTCTTTATTCTTTTTCGCTTGGCAATATAGTCCAGGGTTTGACTACTTATCCATTCTTTGTGGTGTTGTTTCCTGGTACCTAATATGCTATTGAAGGGTAGAGAGCATACTTTGTAACTTTTCTCCAGGCGATGCTTGCATGGTAAGGAAATGAACAGGTAGACAGATTGGCTGGATCTGCAACATTGGGTGGGGTGTTGATACATGCAAGGCAGATGTGGTCAGGGCCCTTTGGAAACAAGCAATGGAGTCATAAGCGATACAAGATTATTATAGCCTAGACAGAATGAGGCACCTGGATGTAACCAGGTTCTGGTCGGCTCACTACACTCAGGGGAAAGGCAAGACGGACATATAACCAGATTACGACCATTATAATTATCACTGGAACTCTTCGCTGGCTGCTGGAGATGAGGACGGAGCAATGTCCCGAGGGCTGTGAACGAGGAATTAGGAGTGGATCCGGCAAAAAGGGACATAGGAACGGAAGAGGACGACGTGTGTATAATCAGTGTGCTACGGAAACAAAAAACACATTAGGACACTTGCTGTGGGAGACAGAGCAACTATGGGTATGCCCGGTGCGCTGTGATGACGATTCTTAAATCAGTAATTAGTTGTTGCGACGATGCCCTCCATGCCATGACTAAAGACCGTCAAGAATGTTCTCCTTTTTTTTCTCTACATTTTTCTACAAATATCTCGAGCTACCTTATCATATTACAGTGTCTATATCTTATAAGTAAGTTGTACATCTTTTTTTTCAGGTCGTTGCAAACCGTCAAACACAACCATACCATATATACCTCTGCGTTAATCGGCTGGAAATTTATAGTTGTTATGGACTGCAGTCTTCTTGCATAACTTGTGTTTTGAATGAATATCGGTGTAATAGATCTGGCTTATTTGTAAGCAGAAAAGAAGAACTGGCAAAATGATGCTCTTGTAGAGTCGGAGTTTCGTTACTGCAGAGGAACGAAACTCCGACTCTACAAGAGCATCATTTTGCTAGTTCTTCTTTATGGAGCGGAATGCTGGAGAATGACCAAAAAGGATGCACACAAGCTGTCCACCTTCCACCACATATGTCTACGTAGAATTATCAAAATTTTCTGGCTAGATACAATCTCAAACACTAAACTACTTCAAGTCACAACCAAGAAACTTTAGACAGTATGATTACCAAGAGAAGATGGAAAAGGCCTGGCCACGTTTTGAGAATGAATTCTGATATATCTGCCAAAACAGCTCTCACATGGACACCGGAGGGAAAGAGAAAACAGGGGCACCCAAAAACAACACGGAGACGAACGATGGAAAGTGACCTGAGTGCGGCATCTTTGACATGGAAAACTGCACTGAAGATTGCACAGGACAGGAAAGCATGGAAGGTCCTCTTTGAAGCCTCATGTGCCACTAGGCGTAACGAGAACTGATGATGCTCACTACCCGTGACTTTCCCAGTGCAGATTGCCACTCTTTTCGAAGCATCCCTGTCTTCATCTTTCTCGGCATGCTTACAGAGTCTGTGTACAGTTGTTACATGTGTATGGATCTTGTTCTCTAGCATAGGACAACTGTAATTACCGCCTCCACCTCTATTCTCATGCTAGATGTTGTGGTGTCCTTTTCATCATTTTTATCAGCCGTTGTACTTCTAATTCTGCCATACCTTCACACCACTCTCTACATTCTCTTTCTAATGTGATAACGACCCGATGGAATTGATGTTGTGTGTGTTCGTGTTGACCCCTTCCTGCCCCCTCCCTGTGTATTTGCTCGACTGAGGCACACTATGAAGACTGCCTGTTGTGGGGAGGCATGATCGCTGCGCCAGTCAGCAAGGAACTTGATGATGAAGATCCCTATTCATTAGTTTTGTATGCTAATGAAGGCTGACTATCCGCAACGTTCATTTTATCATTCATTAACTGTGTTTTATCGCTGACAATCACGACTCGCTTTCAGTGTTGCCACTTTTCTTTGACAAAAAACATCTAAAATGGTCAAAACATTTGCGTGAAAAACATCTAGAAAATACATCCAAATGGAAAGAGTCACAAATTACATAGCAATTGATATGACTTACCCTATAGAATCATGTCCTCATCTTTACTGAAGTCTGCCTTACAAGATCCACAGGATAAACTTAGCTTGGATGATGAAGTTGAAGCTTCAGATCAAAAATGAATCTGGTATGCTTTAGCTGTTTCAATTTCTTTTAATACTCAATTAGGGAGCTGATAAGTGGAACAGCCTTTTCCTACTCTTATCAGGCCGAATTTTATTGTCAAGATAGCATTTAGGAGGTCAAATCTCATCCTGTTTGTTAGGTTAGATTTGATAAATTCACTCCAAATGAAAAACTTCTAGAAAGATATCTACCATCTAAACGTCAAAAATGCCATCTAAAGGCAAGGGAAAACATCTAAATTTAGATGTAAAACATTCAAAGTGGCAACACTGTTCGCTTTGTTCCTTTTTTCTTTATTTCCATAAACATCTACTGGCGTGTTTCGTGTTTTAGCCGCACCGCCACCAGGGCACACTAATTACCAGTTGTGAAGATTATCTGACTGTTAAGTGCTAATTGCGCATGTCATTGGTACGTGCACCGGAACTTCCGGACGACACGACTGCAACAAGACAACAACTGGACGTCTGCTAAACTGACACAAACAGATAGAGATAATATCACCGTTCCACTGTTATAATAATTCTGCGGCTCCTTAGTTATGGATTATTTCCGTAAAGTTTTAGGAGGACCGCAGGGGGATGTTCATTCATCCAGCACGGCAGAAACGGTAACATTTGCATATTAAAACTAGATGATAAATCGACATATTTCACATATGAGTTGCATAATGTCACTCTCTGAACTGAGAGTAGAGTGAGAGTCAGTGAAAGCGAATAATTTCTTCTTCTTTTTTTGTTGTTGCGATTCTTCTCTCTAACAGTTAACTTAACCTGGTACACATATTTGTACATTTTAATAACTGTAGACGATACCTCAAATCAGCAGTTGATTCTGAGAATGATTCTGCTATTTGAGCGATTCTCATCCATTAGACGTTATTCTAAAAATAAATAAATGTTAAGTTGCATTCAGAGAAGATCAAAGATGTGATATCTCAACATATCTTCTTCAGTTGTCAACGAAATGAAAATAGGAGAAGACGAGGAAATGGAGAGATAGCTACTTGTACCAAAGCTATTGGAACTCAGTGCTGGCTGCTGACAATAGGGAGGAAGCACAACTGGAATGTCCCAAGTAGTACTGTGCTGTGGTTCCCGGCTTAAGAATGAGAATGATTCTGACTACCAGAGTGATTCTTTTCCATTCTTTTGGTCGTTCAGTTTATGTTCTAAGTTGAGCTTGAAGAACCCACATCACAGCACCAAGGACATTTCCATAAGCACTATGATTCCATTTTCGGAAACCAGCAAAAAGCTTATACTCTGATGCTACCAGTACCAATCTGATTGTATGTCCCTCTTGCTCTCCTCTGAGTGTGGAGTGTTGGCTAGGTCTCTGGGTCACTTCCTGTTGCCCCGTTCTCTTCAAACCATGATGATCTGACTGTGCCTCTGCACTGTTCACTCACTGCAAAAGGGCCTTGACAGTATCTAGCTTATCATGCAACTGTTTGCCACTGAGTGGTGCAGAACCAGCCAGTCTGACTGACTGTTCTTTTCCCAACACACTTGCACAGCCTGGAGAAACTATCCACAGGATGGTAACTAGCCTGGATGTCTGAAGAGGTGTTTGCCAATCTGCATGGAGCATACCTGTCTCCACCTTTATCAGCATGCTTTGTGAGTCAGTTACAGACATAAAGTGTATATGTAGTTGGTTCTCAAGGCAGAAAAGAAAACTGCCCCGGCCTCCATTCTCAGACTAGATGTTGTGTTATCATGTGCCAGGCTGTGTTGCACTAAGGGTCATCATAGCTTTTGCTATGAACCCTTATGTGCTTCTGCTTCTCAACACTGAGCCATCGGTATGGATAATCACATCCCCAGGATGGGAGTTGTCAGGAATCAGTTGTTAAACCTGATTCTGCAGTGCCTGCTGGCCACTCCTGAACTGACTCATGATGTTTAGAACCCTATACAAGGTCCGCCCTCTCTGACTCACTCCTCTCCTCAGTATACACACACACGCATGCACACACACACTCACAGATGTGTACAAGCATGCACACAGATTTACTGTTCTGAAGAGTTTTAGAAAGCTTGTCTTTTCAAGTGACCATGAGCTATGGACTCACTCACTCAGCCAGTCACTAGATTACTTTTGCAAATGCTAAAAACCAAAAAAAAAAAAAAAAAATTATAGTTTTTTTTCCAATACTACTGGCATTTGTTCTGTTAAATTCTTTCAATATAAGATAATGCTCATTGGTTACTCTTACACAATTCTTTATCTTTTTCTGCCACATTCTTCTGTTATGTTAGCCCATTCCACATATGTTACTATAAATCCTTGGGCCTTCAAAAATGGAGTTTTCAATTCCAAAAGATGAAGAGTTGTTATACAGTACACAAATCTTAGGATAGGCTGCAAGAAAAGTAGCAGATCCCTGGGACTGAAAGAGTTGGCATCACACATAATTTTACACCATTTATGAGATGGACCATGGGTTGGAAAACATGGATGTAAATCCTTTCCTTAATTAAAGGTCATGCAACAGACCTTTTTGTATAATTTTGTCTCCTTAATAATAATAATAATAATAATACAGAAATAGCTGATAATTTTCTTCACTTATTCATAAATTCATTTATGATACAGATTGAACGATTATGCGAACGTGTGTCATCATCAACACTGCTTGATGATCGCAGGGACGCAGTGAGAGCACTGAAAGCGCTCTCCAAAGTAAGTATCCCTTGTGGGATATTTGTGAGTGTTCTGTGTGGCTAAGATACCTTTTTTTTGTTTTATCATAAGGCACAGAAAGGCCAAATTGTGTACTGACAGAATTATTAGTCTTTCACGTATTCTAGACCATGACCTGAGGTAAGGTGACTAGTTCCCTTCCTCACCACCATTCTCTCAAAGCTACCAGTTTATGAGGATGGTTCTATCCCAAGGCCATATCTGTTCGGAGAAAATCACCCACTGCTGGTGATTGGACCCACATCACTGTCTCCATTGGCAAATGGACTAACCACCAACCTTAGCAGATCAGTAGTTTGGGACAAGTTGCAAACATTTTGCAGGCTGGGTTACTTCAGTAAACTTTTGTAAGTGCAGTGCAGCTGCAGTAAATGCAAATATCTGCTGTTGAATTAAGAATTGACATCATAGCACTCATGAAACTCTCACAAGCTCTCCATTCCAAACTTCAGCACCAAGGAAATAGTTCTAATTCGAATGTTACTAGTAATTGTTGTATTGTACATCTGATTGTTTTATTGCAGATATCTGCATGACCAACAAGGGCAGGAAGAGTTAATTTTTTGGGGGTGGGGGGAAAACTGTTGTTTTTCAATCTTTGATTGTGTCACGGTTCAGATCAGGAACATATCATAAATTTTCTTCCCAGGACATTTGATTGTTTGTAGTAACAAGCTGGCTAATAGAATAGCTGCTACCACTCTTCTTGACAACAGGCTGCTTTATGATCAAGCAGATCTGGGGAAGGCTCTCTGGAATCAAGTTCACGGTGCAACAAAAAACAAACAAAAACACAGAATACCTGTACTTGGTGAGAATGATTCTGCAGGAGTGCGCAGAGGGTCTGGACAACATTCAGCAGACATTCAAATTTTAAACACATTGCAACTGACACTATTGATAAAGAGACATCACTTTAAAGGAGAAACATTACAACATGCTAAGGAATTTCATGTACCTTTTCACCAAGGATGAAGGATTGATCAGAGAAATAGAAAACAGAATGCAAAAGGCCAACAACATGAAAAACCAAATAGCCCCACTTTGGAGTCATCAAAATATCAACATGCACACAAAAAGCAGCTAATAAATGTGCTAGAGATACCAACAAAGAACTAACAAAAAATGGTAGTCACAGTACCAGTAAATGATTTTGTCTTCTGATCAGAAGGGAACATAACCAGCCAGTAGCTAGACCTACTACATGACAACAGCAGACTACAGTGCAAGAGGCTGACCAAGAAACAGATGCATGGATGGAGTAAAAGAGACAGTAACTCAGTATGACATTAAAACAAGCTGTTGTTTGACAATCACCAGTGAGGAAGACCACTTTCCTCCAAGTAGTAATGATCAGTGATTATGAGTACAAAGGTCCCTGAATAGTCTAGTATGAGCTTGGTTGATAATAGTTAGAGGAAAGTGACTTGCACAAGGACTTGGATTTAAGTGAGGAAGAGTTGCGCGATTCGTCGACCTCACTCTCTCGCCTGTGTCCATCTTGATCCAATGGCAGGACAATGTTGAGACGATTGGAAATGGACCTAGGTGCAGTGGATGACCAGGGCATCTTAAAACAAGCTACACAACTAGCAAAGGACAGTAAACCACGTCTAACTCTTCTATGCGATTCTTCACAGCATAAGCAGTAGGACAAAAGAAGAAGGAGAAGACTGTCAGTATGGGAACTTTTAGTTTGCTTATGAGGAAAGGCACGAAGCTCTTGTTAGTATGTCCTGAGTGCAGTGATATTAACTGTGGTGGATTGATTGATTGGTCTATTCATTGATTCATTTTTGTTTTGATACATTTATTCCAGAAATTTCGACTGGAAGTTGGAACCCAAGCCATGCATATTCTTTTGAATGTCTTGCAACAGGACAGGTATGACATCGTTATCCTTTTCCTCTGCCTTCTCTTCTTCTTTTTTCTTCTTCTTCCCTTTATCCTCCTCATATGTGTCTACTGTTTATCTTTTCCCAGTAATAACTATCTTGATTCTTCCTTCTAGCATTTAACGCCAGTAGAGCATAGTCATGTGCCTTGTACAGTTAATCACCTCCTCCAAACATACATGAAACACACATGCCTGTATACATATTCATTATAGAGAGAGGGTGAGAGCATATGTGTCAGTGTGTGCTTGATATATAGATATATAGAGAGAGAGAGCGAGGGAGCCTTTTTCAGACTTTCCTTTATTAATAGTCTTTGTCTTTAATCCTTATCTCCATGGGTCTTATTAGTCTCTCTATATTAGGATGCTATCGGGTCATGATTCAGCAGAGCATCTGGCTCACATTATTTCTGGGTGGGAGGGGGGGGGGGGGTGTTAATGTTTTTGGCACATCCTGTAGATATTGCATTGTCAGCTTGACTCCAGCAGTTGTATAGCTGGGGGGAGAAAAGCAACAAGAACAACCACTGGTCATGTGCCTTATTGAAAAAAATGGTAACTCATTATATGCTCACAATATTTATGTATAGGCAATTCCTGAGTTGTCCAGTGCAGCAACCCATCTAAACTACCTCTACTGATTTTTCCTGTGTGGAATTGATTACAATGTCTCCTATCTTGACCTCAATGACTGTACTAATATGCTTTCCTCCGAGGTTGTATGGTCATGGTTAAAGTCAGTTAGGTCATCCCATACTTGCTGCATGCCTATGCAATTTAAAATCAAACAGAATGTCCCTCACTGTCCCATTTGGAAAACTGGTGAACAAAAAGATTAGTCCCAGGACATTCCAGAAATATGCACAGGCAGTCAGTATACAAACTAGAGGCATCAAAGCCAACACTAGCCACCAGAAATATGCACAGGCAGTAAATGCACAAGCTAGAGGTACCAAAGCCATCAGTTGCCACTAGAAATGCAGTTTGTCATTGATGGAAGTAGTCAATCAAATTAAATCAGATGTACACACGCTAAATTATTACGTAAGATATTTCACCAGTCCAAACATAAACCAGGTGCCTGCGATACAAAATACCGCAGTACAACTGCTGGCCAAATAAAAGTTATCCCACATGAAAAACACAGCTCACAGTGCTGCACCAATCATGTAACACAGTAGCTTAGGCAGCGAAACCATAGACTTCTGCCCATATGGGGAAACTGCATTAGCAAAGACCTGTCAGAAAAAATAACCTGGAAGCTGAACATTCTACCACACCTATCTTTCATATTGGGCCACAAGTAACTTCAGAGAGTCATCAATAATCACGTGTTAACTTGACCTCACACATCCATCACCTGCTGATTAGCATATCCAAGCCTGAGCCCAGCACCATATGCCCAAACTGTCAGTGATGAGATGGATTGGAGAACAGCCTAATGGATAGGCTCAAGTTCATTAAAGGTGATGCTTGTATCAGGTCTTCAGATGGGTTCTGTGCCCTATTTTGGAGGTGGAGGGGATTAGGTAGACTAACTGCCTCCCTAACAAACATATAATAAAAGATGACTAATTGGGCTAAAAGGCACCGATATTGCAGCCTAGCTGTAAACTGCATCACAACATGCTAGCTGCCCTTTCAAGAGTGAGCACAGAAAAATCTGAAATATCAAGTCAGTGTTTTGTTGACATTTTGAAGATTTGATTAATACTGACATTTTGTTTTATTTACAGTAGTGTTTTTGTTGACATTGTGAGAATTTAAGTAACATAGTTTGATTAATTTACAGATAGTTGCTAATTTATTCTCTGTAATCATATTCTAGGAGTGACACAGAGATTATTGGTTACACTTTGGATACGCTGTATCATGTGATGTCAAACGAATCAGCAGAGGAAGGTAAAGTATTCACAGTTATTCCAAGAATTGTTCTTTTTAGAAATATTTTTGAAATGCTAAATAAACCATGAGCACACCTATCTTGGCAGATAGCTGTCACACTGATTTTTACTAGTTCAGATATGTTTGTCATATATACTAGATACTAGTGATTTTAATGTGTTTTAATCATTATCATTTTGTGCGTTAAATGTCACACAGGACTCTTAGTCTCTCTTCTGTTATTTCTATTCTGTGCAATTATTTCATTCTTCTTCTTTCTAAACCCCAATGAAGCATAGGCCTTCAACCAACTCACACCAAGTCGAATTATTTCATTATCATGGATGAAATCCAGTCCAGCACCCTTTGCCACACTCAACAGTGTTACTCGTAGGGTTTTATATTGTACGTCTTTGTTTCCTTAGTGGATTTGTTTCCCATTTCGTTGCCAGTTTAGTGATTCTCCGTCTGTTTCTCCTCTTGATGTGTCCAGTGTAATACCATTTTTTTTTCTTATAACTAGCTAGCTGTACCCAGCCACACTTTGCTGTGGCTCAGTCTGGCTAAATAGAAAAGAAAGAAAATAAAAAGCGCACATGTCTAATATGGTTAAAGTTTAATCAATGTCTGTGCAGATATAGAAATAGTGTGGTTTTCAGACTCTAGAACACGCAACATATAACTGTGTCTTTATATTAGTGGTTGTTTAAATTGTATTATTAGGACTTAAAAAAATTAGTTATTTGTTTATCACATGCTAAAGCTTTCTGTAGTTTGTAAACAACTGAAAGTAAAGCTTACTACTGTACTTCTAAGTAACCAACAAATTAGCGCGCCCCCCCCCCCCCCCTGCCTACCCCTTTTCCAAATTAAAATACCTGAGTTAGCGTTATTTAAATATAGATAAGTTAAAAAAAAACATTTTAAAATCATAGTTGAAGCTCTCTCAGTTAACAGTTTATGTCATCACCCCCTGTCACAGAGCAAATTTGAATTTCCCTCTAGATTGCTGCCAGAAAGTGGACCGACTTAATATGAGAGGGGAGTTCTAAGTGAAATCCGAAAAAGCTTACAGTTTAGCAGCATAAAAAATGGGTTGCCGACAGACGCACCTAACATATTGAACACTCAATGAGCTACACCGTTGAAGAAGTGTGAAGGATATTGCCGGGAATCTAAAAATAGGCATGAAGAAATAGCTGGAGGTGAAGGTAAAATTGAGGGAAGGAGAGATGTGGAAAAATCAGAGGGGACCAGATCTTGATGCTAGTTGGAGATTGCAATGAAAAGAAAGTCACCTGCATTGTCAACATAGTAGCCTGTTATAAGGCATGAAGATGGTCCCCAATTGCTGTCTGTATTGATGCTAGCCCGCACCTTACCAGGAGCTGACTGGGCAGTGTGATGGACAAGTCACTCTGTGTAAATCAAGAAAAGAAAATAGCTTGACCCCATTGGGTGATAACTTCAATACCAGTATTTCTGACTATTTCTGCTGGTGGTGTACAATTTCCAATATGAGTCAGGAGCAGAATACTGAGCCTGCTGAAGTATCCATATGATAGATAATCGACTGTGCAGGAAGATTCATTACAATGTATCTTGCTTTGGAATAACTGTTATGCTTTGTCCCCTAAGATTGTTATCAATAGTGCACTGGCACTATATCAGATTGGTTGCTTTAATATGGTTTGATAACATGTATGGTTAACGTTGTTCAATAAACGTTGAAATACAACCTGCACTCTTTTCATTTTAAACATAAGTGTATAGAGGTTTGTACAGAACAATTTTTCATCTTTACTGTGAAACACAGTTGGGGGCTTTTGTAAAATTGTGGGTCGGTTTTTAGCTAGATATTTCCCAGGTGTCCACTTTTTCTCATGCAGTGGGTCTGACCTACCATCTAGTTCCCACAACAGGACTTGCTGTCAGCTTGTTTAATATTATCCTGGGACTAATCCCTTAGATAACCTATAATTGAGCCACATCTGCAGTTTAAGCATTCCTGAGAGGAGAGAGGGATCACTTTAAGGTTATTCCTCTCTTTAAAACGACCAGTCACATCTAATATGTAAATCCTATGACGACACCCCCCCCCTCCCCCCTCCCTCCCCCAATCCACAAACTACTCCTGTCTCCATCTCCAAAAGATTTGAAAGTCATCACCTGATGATATTTTTTTAAACAATTGACTTTGGCATCCGTGTCCAACTAGTCTAAAATGGGTAGCAGGAATTGTAATGAGAAGTAAATGCAGCCAGCATAATATTTACCACATCACACATCAAGTACCAGTACTACTATTACACCACCACCAGCCAAAACAACTACTACTACTATTCTGTTACTACTACTGCTACTATGAGCAGATTATTCTTGCTGGCACGGCAGCTACTGTGACATCCCTGACATGGGCAGTAGTGATGTCACTAGCAAGAGTCGTCTGATTAATCACCACAGAAAAGGCCTCATTAGTAGTTTTTGTGGAGCTGTCGAGGAAAAGCACTGAGAACCTATGGATCTGTTCGGAATGCTGTGATGATAGTCCTGACTAGTTTTCATTTCCATATCTTGTCATTTCCATACAGTCTTTCAACAACTATCGTTTTATGCCCACAAATATTAAATCTAGCTTGTTTTTGTTCCCACATATGTACATTTCCAAACAGTCTTTCAACAACTCCTCATCCCAAAACGAAAAATTTATTATCTGACACAGTCTCATGCAGATTTCTGAGTTCAACAGTCAAAGTTTGCCTACGACCTGAAATAACCTGCGCTGGGAACGCGGCAATGAAAAAAAATTAGATCGTCCGAAACAAAAGTGCCGATGTGATCATTGTTGGAGCTATGTAGTTTGCGCTTTATGCAACAGATCCTATATAAAAATGCATGTATTGAAATGCAACATTGTGTCAAAATGTGAAAGCAATCGGTCAAGAACTGTCAGCATACAGCCTGATGCAGATTTCTGAGGTCAACTGTCAAAGTTCCCCTACCAGCATAAATTAAAAAAGGCGCCAGGAACGCAGCAACGAAAAAATCAGATTTAAAAAAACCAAAACCAAGATGCTGAAATGATCATCGCTGGAGCTATGTTGTTTGTGCTTTGTGCGAAACTTTTATATAAAAACATGCGCATATTCAGATGCAGCGTATACAAATTTCAAAGCAATCGGTGAAGAACTTTAGGAGGTTAACTATTAGTCACAACTGACATTTTACAGTAATTATATAGAAGATACAAGCTGTTGACCAGACATTTCTCTTATTTTTTTTTTGCCTTTCTTAAATTCATCTCATGTAATGTTTATTAGTTTCCTTAGGCATTTATTATCAGTTTCCTTAGGCATTTATTATCAGTTTCCTTAGGCATTTATTATCAGTTTCCTTAGGCATTTATTATCAGTTTTCTTCAGCATTTATTTTTGAAAGCATTTAACTTTTGTTCCCATCTGTAGCAGTTCTCCAGATTTCACTGACATGTTAAAATTGAAATAGCATAAGAATAAAAAATATGTAGCTTGTTATGTTCACATACCAGTGGTTTAAATATGTTGAACGACAGGTGGTTTAAAATGCATTGATATTCTAGTGATTTAAATCTGCTGATCTGATGGTGGTTTAAATATATCGATCTGCGAATGGTTTAAAATATATTGATCTTTTGAGGGTTTAAATCTGCTAATCTGCCAGTGGTTCAACTATATTGATCTGGGAATGGTTTAAATATGTTGGTTTTTTGAAGGTTGAAATCTGCTGATCTGCCAGTGGTTTAACTATATTGGTTTAAAATATATTGGTTTTTTGATTGTTTAAAAATGCTGATCTGTCAGTGGTTTAAATCTGTTGATCTGTGAATGGTTGAAAGGTGCAGATGTCACAGCCACATGTTGTGCTACCTGCCCTTTCCAGGACGTAATCAGAAGGATATGTTGATCTTTTGATGGTTGAAATATATTGTTCCTCTGATGGTGAAAATACCTTGATCTACTGATGTTTTAAATATGTTGATCTGTTGATGGTTGAAATATATTATTTTTCTGATGGTTAAATATCTTGATCTAATTATGTTTTAAATATGTTGATCTATTAATGGTTTTAATATGTTAATCCATTGATTGATTGAATATGTTCATCTTTTGATGGTTTAAATATGTTGATATATTAATGGTTTTAATATGTTGATCTGTTAATGGTTTAAATATGTTGCTCTACTGATGGTTTTAATATGTTAATCCATTGATTGTTTAAATATGTTGATCTGTTAATGTTTTGAATATCCTGATCTACAGATGATTCTAGAGGCCAGGTTAGCAGTGATCTTGGTGCACAGTTCACAGAAATTTTCATCAAAAGACATGAAAATGTCTCTCTCCTCATGTCGTTTCTTGATGTGAGTTATAAGACATTTCTGTAAAATATTTCTGTAATTACTATATTCTTTGCATTCAGTCAGCTTTTTTAAAACTGTTTTTTTGTATCAGTTGTTTACAGATAATTACCTTTGCATGAAGTTTGTGTATTTTAAGTTGGTAGGTTACATTTAAATCTTATTTAATTGTTTGCATTTTAGGTAGTTATTTCAGACCAAAACGTTATAGACACTTTTTAACTTACATTTTCAGAAGTATTCTCAGAATTGAGCCTAGCAGGAATCAGTGTTCAGATTGTCTCTATCTGAATATTATTTTTACTTCTATTTTAGCTATTATTATTATTATTATTTCTGCTACTGCTGTTGCTGCTTCTCTGCTGCTTCCCTTTCTCCTCCTACTACAAATCCTCCTATTGTTAGTATTGCTGCTATTATTGTTACTATTATTATTACTGCAACTTTGGTTGTCTTTATTACTGCAACTTTTATTTTTAATATTTTTATTACTATTTAATTTCTGTTTGTTTTGCTTCATAATATCTTCTTCTGTTCTTATTCCTGTCTCTCATATCCTGGTACAGTTATTCACCTGGCTTCCCTGTGTGTGGACTAGTGTCTGGGATTACTTTCCTTCTTGTATTGGTGTTCATTGATAAAGGCTGAGGTCAAAACATTAAATTGTTTCTGTGTGTGTCTTTTCCTCTTTCCTAGCTGTTGAGCTTCCTAGTTGTTATTTAGTGAGTTCATTTTGTTCAACCAGCTTGACTGCAGTCACCCCTGTTTTTTGTCTCAAAGTCCATGCCATGTGGCGTTGGTAATGTCTCTCCACAACCTTCTGTCACATGTTCTTTCAGTCAACTCTGACGCAGATGATCAGACTATTCAGCTTCTTATCTCTCAATCTCCCTCTGCCTCTCCTCCTCTCAAGCTTTCCTACTGTCATGACATACTCCAGTTTTCTCCTTCTCTTGTATGACCAAAGAATGTACATTGTCTCTTTTTGATGTGGGCAATCAGTTCTCTTCGTGATTCAGCTTCTTTCAGGACATCTTCATTACTCTTGTTATCTGTCCAGGTTTTTCTCATCATTGTCTATGTTTTTAATCTCCTCTGATTCACTGATTTAAGAATCAGATTCGTAGTACACCGGGCATGCCCATAGATACTCTGTCTCCCGCAGCAAATGTCTTATTTCATTTAGACCCAGGAGAGTAACTTAAGGAGGCAATAGCCACCACCAAGCACACATTACTTCAAGATTAGTTGTACGCATAGGAAACTTCCTAGTGTGGAAGCTGGATTTTTATTTAAATGCTCTGACCAAATGGGGGAATTTTTCCTTCCTTTATAATGTCTTCATTATCCATTTGTCCAGTGTGAGGTGTCACTTTAATAGCCCAAAAACTGCTCTTTAATTTTCTCGCACCCCTGCATATCCCAGACAGTATATCTACAAGATCTGCAATGAGGATTATGGCTGCTTCCAATATTGAGCAAAGACTACTAATACTTCTATTCTACGGTCTGGTCCTTTCCCCCATTGAATACGCTCTGGCCATCCTTACTGTCAGTGCTACCCAGATTGAACGACTCGAAAAGGTGCAAAATGAAGCCATGCGCATTATTTTGGGATGTACAAGAGACACATCCCGTGGAGCAATGAGGTATCTACTTGACTTTCCAACAATGAACCAAAGGATCAGGATGTGGAGGGCTCGGGCATATCTCAAAATATGTGTTGATAAGAAACACCCACTGCATCAAGCGCTTTTTAGTGAAAAGGGTGACAGACTGAAGAGGTGGAAATCGTGGCTAGGTCGGGCAGAAGATGCTATTAGGCAAATATGCAGCCTAACCGACATCATACCTGGTGCAGAATGGATACCTGTGCCTCAGGCGTTTATTTGTACATTTTCCTGTATTGTCACACTCAACAGGCGATGTAGAGAAGAGAATCCTGTTGTTGTTAATGCAGAGGTCAACGCTCTCATCTGTGAAAATTCAGACGAAGCAGATGCAATAATCTATACAGACGGATCCGTTATACGCCAAAAAAGAAGCGCATGGGCATTTACAGCACGCTCAGCTGGCAGAACAGTCAAAGAAGCCAACGGCGCCTTCTCCATGACAACCAGCAGCATGACGATGGAGGTGATGACAGTGACGCAAGCGTTTGCCTGGCTTGAAATACAAAAATACACCCGTGTATGTATACTCAGTGATTCAATGAGTATGATCCGGAGGGTTCAGGCAGGTTCAGTGCGAAGACAATGGCTTGAATCATTACAGAAGTCCACTGTGCGTGGAGTCACCTTTATTTTTGTTCCGGGACACGCAGGCGTCGATGGAAATGAAATAGCTGACAGGTTGGCTGGATCCGCTATCACTACCGACGGTCAGCCTATGGATCATGCTGATATTATCAATGCCCTCAGAGAAATGGGAAGGATAGAGGACTTTGGTGGCAGTGAATCCACATCACTCGCCAGAATGGCAGACTTGGGAATTAAGATCGGCACAGCAAAAAACGAGACGCACACCAGACACGCCAGAAGACTTGTTAATCAACATAGAACTGGTACTATTAGCCATCGGACGTTGGGGTTCATACTGAGGGGAGGATCTGAGCACCTATGGACATGTCCGGAGTGCAATGAGGATAACCCAACTAACTAACTAACTAACTAACTAACTAACTAACTAACTAACTAACTAACTAACTAACTAACTAACTAACTAACTAACTAACTAATATCTACATGAGTCCCTGGTAATTTTGGCATGCTAATTCTTGGTATCTCATAGCGCCACACTTGTCCATTTTTAACCTTCCACAGTAATGACTGAGAATCAGACATTTTAAGTCCTCTCGTAACTCTATTTTCTACTATCCACTTTGGAACTGCAGTAATTGATTTATGCTCCATCCTCATGCTTGAAGTAGTAAAAAAAAAATGGCACTATTTTGTTTGTCTGAAGCAGGGCTAGTCAGCTAAGTTTACTCGGGGGCCAGAACTTTGAAAATGGAGTTCTTCACAGGCCAGAGGTCTGAGTCTCAGCATAGACAGATCAATACAACTGGCAGTGATCCGCAGGCCACTTGCTAGCCATCTGTAGGCCAGATTTGGCTTGCAAGCCACAAGTTGAATAGCCAAAAAATATTTTGAAAATATGGAGGTGACTGCAGTCAAGCTAATACAAGGAATTCCAGTTAAATGCGACTAAAAAGCTTGACCAAATGTGGAAGCAGAAAAATGTGCACACAACAACACAAATAACTTAACGTTTTGGCCGGGTAGCCTTTGTCAAACATAAAGTGAACTACACAAAGGTAACAACAAGGAGAGTTGAATAGCCCTGATCTAAAGTATTGCTCTTTAATGTATCATATGTTTGGTTTCAGTCTGACTTGCTTCATGTTGTGTCAGTCATATAACTAGCTTTGAAATACAATCTTACCATATGTTTTATTTAAACAGGACTACGACTTCCATGTGAGGTGGCCAACTGTCAAGCTTCTGACTGTAATGCTTACCAACAAGCAGAAGGATCTGCAAGATATCATCCTAGTGGTTCCTATGGGTGTCTCCAGGTTGATGGATGTCCTTTCAGACAGCCGTGAGATTATCCGCAATGATGTTAGTAGAGATTATCTGTCAGAATTCAGTAAAAGATTTAGTAGTCAATGGTTAAAGTGGCAAAGATAATGCAAGCCAAATTTACTTCTTTGAAAAATGTCCATTAATTAATTTCCAGCTGGATTGGATTTGAGAGACCATGCAAGAGAAGAAAAAAACCTACATAGGGATTTAAACACATAGCGACTGAGACTGGAGGCAGATATACTAGGCACTGCACTTTCACAGCTTCCCAGGGATGATAATAGTGGCTTATCAGTTATTTGATGCTAGAATCATAATTTTAAAGAGAAATCGGCAACTCAGTGGGTGATGTCATCAACATCATGCTTGATGTGGTTTCTAACTCAAGACCTTTGGACCAGCAGGCTAGTGTCTAGCTGCTGCGCCACCGCAGCTCGCAGTGATGATAATGGTGGACATTAATCTAAACAGTAATTATAATAATATTAAAATAGTCAGCTCTGTGGCTAAGTCGATGCAAACGCTTCATAATGCCGGGTTTGATCCCAGCTGCGGGCCATGCGCCTTGCGTTGGTTTCAACAGTGGTATCAAGAAAGCCGACCGCCCAGAAAGCAATGGCCAACTACTGGGTGTAAATTTTCCTTGAAAAACCACATAACAGTCAAGGGCTGTTGGGGTTTGATTCTGCAACGTTCAGTAAAGGATACACAACTAACCAGTAGTAAAACAGTTAACCCTTTCACTGGGAGAAGCTGTGAAGCTGACACTTTTGCTTTGTACTATGCACCCGTAAATGTTGGTTTACTGACTTGCTATAGTGGCTTTTTCACAAGAAGCTTAGCTTAAAAGCACTGGTGTCATTTGGGCCAGTGCAAATGTTTAGAAGGATAGGAGTTGATTATATTGACTAAAAATAGCATTGGGAGAAAAAAAAGGGGAAGGGGTTTGTGTGAATAAATGACTTTCTAAATATATATTATGCCATAATTTCCCATTTACCTGGTGAAAGGTTAGAGACTTAAGTGCTGGTCACCGCAACAGTTTATTTATGGTTACAAAGGGGTAAATCAGTTGAATCTTGGCTGCATTCGAGCATAATGATTACTCCTTCTATTCTGTATTCTATATCAGATCAGGATTAATAGATAAGTTTGTAAAGGACCTTTCTCAGGCCTTAGACACATTAGGCATACAGTCGTATGACCATATTTTATAGAACAATGGACACTCGGGTGCATGGTTAACATCCTGGCGGCAACCTTTATCTGTAGTTAAAAGTGAATTGAATATTTTTTCAGGACGTTGCAGAACCAACCACAATAATTTTGGCTGCTGGGTTTTCCAAGGCAAATTAAACGTTCAGTAGTTTGCCATTGCTTTCTTGACGGTCAGCGTTCAGTACCACTGGCGAATTAAATGCAAGACAAATGGTTCGCAGCTGGGATCGAACCAAGCACCCCGGCATTATAAAGCGCGTTTGTAACACCTAAGCTGCGGACGCCAACTTTATCTGTAGTAGAAACAGTGTTTTTATTTTTCTCGAATGCTCTGACGGATAGGTGTAGATATTTTCTGTTCTTTTCTAGGCTCTGCTTTTGTTAAACCAGCTTACAAGGGGTCATGCTAACATCCAGAAAATTGTTGCCTTTGAGAATGCATTTGAAAGAATCATTGAGATTGTGAGAGAGGAGGGAGGCTCTGACGGAGGTAAGGATTAGAAATACTCATGGTGGATTAACTCTTGAAGTCCTATATATGCGTTTCTTTAACTCATCATTTCTTAAGCAGTAGTTGCTTAAAGTTAAGTATTTTTGGATCAGAAAGAAATATCACTATGCTCCAACAGGAGATTTAGTACTAGTTAGGACCTATAATGGGTTAAAGCTACAGCTGCATGAAGGACAGTGACCTCTTATAAGCTTAGCATGCCAATAGAAGCCTAATGATTTGCTTGGGTTATAAAGAGTTAAGGGTCTTTAGCTTTTGATTGTATAGTATGTCGTAAAGCTACAATAAACATTTGTTAACAGGTGTTTGTGCAGAAAATAGGTAGAGTGTCACACAAAGCATGAAACTTCGTAGTTCAAGTGGTGACCCCCCAGGGATCTCTGAAAGATTTGGACTCGCCAAGGACAGTCTGATACTGAACCCATTACCTATAGTGTACAAGGCAAACGGATAAACCAAATCACCATGAATATCTCCTTGGAGTCACTTGGAACACTGACATGCTGTCACACAGGAGAACAATTTGCTTTTTTTTCTTCTTTCCTGAAGCTTCTTCTTCTCCTCCTCCTCCTCCTCCTTCTTCTTCTGTTCGCTTGAAAAAAATTATCTATATCTGCAATGTTGTATGAACTTCGCTGTCATTTGTAATTCACTCAGAGACACGTAAAGTTTGACTTGCACAGATGTTTCTCTTGGCCAAAAGTTTTGCCTTGATATGTTGTGTTTATGACAGTCTTGGAGGACATGATCTGTTGTCTCAGGTACCAGTCCACATATGCACATGGCCGATTTGCCAATTTTAAATTTTGTGTTCATGTGGCTGCGAAGTCGATTGTGTCCTTTTATAAGGCATAGAGAATAATAACTTGCTCTGGTCTGTCCATAAAATGGTAATAGTTTTGTTCAGGTTTTGGTTGCTTTCAGCTGATTGATTTGATTATTCTCTTCTTTTGCTGATAAGAGACTGGTACGTCTGGTTTTTCATCATTTGCACCTTCCTGAGCTAGTTTATCAGCTCTTTCACTTCTGTAAACTCCACATTGGGATGGTATCCATTGCATAGTTACCTTACACTGACTGCCTAGTGTTGAGAATAGTGTTCGTATACTTTCCTGAAGCAATTTTATTTGTAAAGAAACAGAGACTAATGGAGATAAGATCACACACCTGACATGTGAGTGGTGATACTTTCTTCCTCTTCTTCGGTGTTTGCATCTAGGCTATGATATCTCCACCTTTTGACCCAGCACATCTGATTTTGGAAGACTCCTAATTAGTTGCCTATCATGGCATGCTCGTTAGGGGACAGTGGGTCTTTTCTCTCTTGTTCTACCCTCTAATGGGGCCCTGGAGCCCACTTGGGGTATGGTGAATCATTTGAGATTCTGCACATTGATTCTTGATGCTGTCCGTCATGACACACAATGAATATGTTGATGATGATGATAATGATGATGAGGCTATTGTTTATGACGATGATGTTCTTGATGGTATATTGAAGATGGTGGTGATGTTGTTGGTGATAATGATGATGATGTTTTTGGTGTTGATGCTGATGATGATAAGGTTGATAGCTGATGATTAAGACATTCTGAATAGTTTCCTTTCTTTGCTGCAGGTATTGTGGTAGAGGACTGCCTTCTGCTATTGCAAAACCTCCTGCGTAACAATGTATCTAACCAGAATTTCTTTAAAGAAGGCAGCTACATACAGAAACTGAAGCCGTTCTTCCACCTGGATGATGATCCGCAGGCAAAGCATCCTGGCTGGTCAGCTCAGAAAGTTACCAATATGCACCTTATGTTACAGGTGAGCTTGTGCAGAAGTAGAGTAGCCAGAGTGCTTTCTTGCATCACAGTTCATCAACTTGATCAATAAGAATCACGTAAAGAACGAAAATTTGTACATCATAAACATCATCATCATTATCTGCCTTTTTTTTTTAGCTGGCATGGGCGATCATGCTTCTCCATATCATGCAGTCTCACAGTTTGTCTTGGATTGTGACTTATGACAAATTTCATCTTTCTTGGTTTCTCTTTATCTTCTTCATATTCACCAGCTGTAGACTCCAGCGGAAAGTTCTGGTTTTTCGCCCACCTCTAAACTTTAGTCTTGTTTCAGAATCTGAGTGTTGCATGCACATCTGGTTTACAGATCTGGCTTATTTGTATACAGACTTGGTTCCTTGCCTCTCAGGTAGATGCACTCTGACTCCATAGCCCCCAAAAAAAGACTAGGGACTTAAAGGTTATGGCATCTGCCAGCACAGAATCTGTTACATAATGATATCTCTTGGTTAATTTATGACATATGCCATCATAGAATCTGTTAAATTATGACATCTCTTGGTTTATGACATATGGCAGCACAGAATCTGTTACACGATGACATCTCTTGGTTTATGACATCTGCTAGTACATAATCTGTTACATGATGATATCTCTTGGTTTAGGACATCTGCCAGTACAGAAACTGTTACATGATGATATCTCTTGGTTTATGACATCTGCCAATACGGAATCTGTTACTTGAGGAGATCTCTTGGTTTATGACATCTGCCAGTACAGAATCTGTTACATGATGATATCTCTTGGTTTATGACATCTGCCAATATGGAATCTGTTACATGATGATATCTCTTGGTTTATGACATCTGCCAATACGGAATCTGTTACATGATGACATTTCTTGGTTTATGACATCTGCCAGTACAGAATCTGTTACATGATGATATCTCTTGGTTTATGACATCTGCCAGTACAGAATCTGTTACATGATGACATCATTTGGTTTATGACATCTGCTATCTTTCTCCACAGCTTGTACGCACACTAGTGTCACCGAACAATCCACAGAATCAAACAGTAGCGTGTCAGAGGGTCATGAATCACTGTGGTATGTGCTACATTTGTTTAAATCACTAGATTTGTTCTTAAACAATATTTTTGTGTGCTCTTATGTGTGAGAAAGAGATAGATAGATAGATAGACAGATGGATGGAGGGGGAGAGAGAGAGAACGAACTAGGGAATGGACAGACTTTATTTTCAAAGGGTCGTAAATTGGGCATGCATACCCGTGTTAGGTTCGTCCCTTCCAAACACTCGTCTTTTATGCCCTTATAAACACCCGTCTTTCATACTGCTGTTGTGTTTTATCTTTAAAGCATTCTATGTTCATACTGCGTTCATATAACAGTATAATACTATGAATATCAAGTAAAATATACAAAAACATGGATGGTAAATGCGTAAATTGAAATATACAGTCATACCAAACATGCGTGCATACATAACACACAGACATGCACACACACTCGTACACATGTACACACATACATATACACATATGCGCACAGTTGTACACCATACACACCACACACAAACATACATACATTATACAGACACACACTATTTAAATCATCACATACATTAAAACACACTCACACAGCCATAAGTACACATACATACAGAGAGCGAGAGAGAAAGAGAGAGCAAGGAATACATTATCAAGTTGTTTTCCTTACCAACGCAGTAGTTCTAGATTTGATTGATTGATCACTTGTGACACTTTCCATGCATCCAGCAGCAGATGTGGCAGTATTGGTGTGCTGATTGTTGTCTATAGTACAGTGTTCTTCAACCCACGGGTCACCCCAAAAATAAATGTCTCTTTAATCATTTAACAAGAAAAGAATATTCATCTCTGACTAACAGACTGGTTTGTTGTTTTAAATTTTATGTAACGTCCTTTTTGTATGAAAAGACTTTCTCAGCCATGTCAGTAATAACAACCAAACAGAGAAATCAGATGGATGTTATTGCAGCACTCAATTATAGGAAACGATGCTGTAGTCACGTATATCAGATTTTTGACCCTCCAAGTAGCAAGATGCTGCATTAGCCGAAAGTAGTAAATTAGTGACATTAGATTTAACAAATAAGCTGCTATCTATAATTGTTTTTGTTTCTGGGTTTAAATCAGCTGCCTTGTGGGCAGAGGAACAATTTCCCCTTGTTTTTGGTGGGTCCCAGTGATAAAAATGTTCAGGAAGACTGCTGTATGATAAACCCTTCTATAACCACAAGAAGTTGTGAGTGGGTTAACTTATGAGTGGGTTAAAAGAGATTAAAGTCGAGAGGCTTGAATTCCTTTTCCCTATACCAGGTTTTATCCTATAGTGCTCGGCCTCTCTCTTAACCCATTCTTAACCCTTGGAAAATAAAGTTTGTTTGTTCGTTCATTTGTGCGTTCTGCAGAGTGGCTAGCCGCCTGCCAAGAGCGCCATACAAAACACAAACACTGTAGCTCCAGGGATGATCCCCAGGGGTCTGTAAAAATTGCACTCTCAAACTGAACGTTGCAGCTGTGAAATGAACTCACAGCCTTCAGCGCGAGGCAAACATCTCGATCATTTTACCACAGAGACCCCTCTGTGTCATCTTGTAGCAAGTGGTAATGCAAAGTATGCATTATGTTTACTATTTGTTGCACTCACCATTGCTACCTTTGGGGTCAACATATCACTTGACTTATTACCTCTGACCCTGTGTGACCTAAACAGAAGATTCAGTAGCCAATGGGCAACTTATCGCCGGTCAGAAGGTGGTCATGGCGTCAACATTGCAAGAGTCCTTTTCACGGCTACTTGGTGGCGAGCAGCTTTTAGCTTTGAATATGGTGCAAATAAACAATGACCACAGTATAACCAAAGATTCTCCTTAAGGGATGCTGGCTGAACATGGTTTTTCATCTGTGAGCTTGAAAAAGCTAAAGGTCTCTTTTAGAGTTAATCACAGTTCCTACTTCACAGCAAACAGATCACTATATAATTACTGTGATTCTGTGCCAGTAAAAGCCACACAGTCGCTAACTGCCCTATTTTAAAACTGATCAGTCCCTACAAAATCCACCAGCTCACACAAGCATGCATGCACATGCATGCAAGTACACACTCTCTCTGTGTGTCCCTCTCGCTCTGTCTGTCTGTCTGTCTGTCTGTCTGTCTGTCTGTCTGTCTGTCTGTCTGTCTGTCTGTCTGTCTGTCTGTCTGTCTGTCTGTCTGTCTGTCTGTCTGTCTGTCTGTCTGTCTGTCTCTCTCTCTCTCTCTCTCTCTCTCTCTCTCTCTCTCTCTCTCTCTCTCTGCCCCTCTCCCTAACCTCTCTCATATTCACTTACCCATCTGGGAACTGCCAGATGTGCCAGATAGTCCACCAGTATAACTGCAGTTTATTGTTGATGGAAGCAACGGTCACAACAAACTACTGCACATACAATGTGGCATAAGTCACTCTACCAAGTCTGATGCAGACTAACCACCTGCCAGTTTATGAATATGCTGTATAGATGACTTGGTCATTCATGTTAGTCAGGGCAGCACTTTTAAAGCATTTATTGTCAATCAGGTCAGTGGTTCTCCATGTGGGTTTCCTGTGGGGGTGAAGGAAACGTAGGCTTACTGGCACCCTCCCCACCCTCACCCCCCATCCTGAGCATTATGTAAAACAGGACAAATGAGAGGTTTGCTGAAATCAGATGTGGTGGTCCAAAAAGTGCTACCTAGCTGTAAACCTCTGCTCAACAGGCTGAACAGAAGAAGATCAGTCTTGATTCTGGTATATTGAGTTTCAAATTGTTGCTGGATTTGATTTGTTTTTCCAAAAGATGTTGCAGTAACCTTGAATAGCCTGAGCACATAAGAGTTTATGCCTGTAAAAGAGCTAGTGAAAGTAGAAAAGTGTAAGAAAGAGAGTTCTTTTTGCCTGTAGTGGGAAGGAAGGATCTGGAAAATCTGTGATGACTGGCATGATCAGCTGGAGATGAGGCAGAGGTTGAACACAAGAAATGAAGTTTTCGGTGGTGATATGGAGGCAAATCATTATTAGAAATGACCCAGAGCAGTTGGCATTCGATGGGTGATGTCAGATCCTGCCCTTTATTTCCCAGAACATTTATACGTGTGTTTTTAACTGGGTGGACCAAGAAGAAGAAAAACACTGATATTCTGCATTATCTGAACATTGAGGAGAAAAGGCTCATAAACAGCATCCTCTCCTGAAAGCTGTGGTGTTTTGACCATTTTAAATGTTATGGTGGTGTGGAGAGAATGGCGATAGAGGGTGCATTTTCTGGAAAATGAAGAAGAGGCGGACCATCACAAAAGTGGATACAAGACATTGGCTATGAAAACACATAGGGCTGGAGAATTGGCTTAGAAAAAGAGAGACTTTCAGGCATGCCATGAAGGAGAGATCCTCTGTAAAGTACCTGCAGATTGATGATGATGATGATGATGAACCTACGAATAAGGTCAGGTTTGAAAATTCGCTTGGGTGTGGATTCACACATGCGACCAGTGGGTTGGAAGTCATATGCAAGCCACTCTTTCATCATGACCCCAGTTTTCATGTGATATTGTGATATTATTGTTGCCTCACGTTTTATCCTGTACTTTTGTTGTTGTGTTCTATACAGTGGTTATAACAGTAAGTTTAGTAATAAGAGCAGTGTTTGTGTACTTCAGGTTTGTTGCAAGATCTTTGCTCAATCCTGATGGCAAGTGGGGTTCCTGCAGATGTTCTCACTGAGGTAATTCAGATTTTTGTAGGATTTCAGATCTTTTTTTGAAATTATAGTGCTGATTTAATGTATATAATTGTAGTGTTTGGGGGCTTTTCAGTTTGAATAGTTCTGAATGGTTAAAAAAAAAAAGAATTTGTATCTATAACTGTATATGTGTGTGTGATGTATAATATATATATATATATATATATATATATATATATATATATATATATATATATATATATATATATATATATATATATATATATATATATATATATATATATATATATATATATATATATATATATATATATATATATATATATATATATATATATATATATATATATATATAGATATAGAGAGAGAGAGAGAGAGAGAGAGAGAGAGAGAATACTGTGGCCCTACTAGCAAGCCAGTCAAGTTCTCTCTTATCCCAGAATGCTCAGGCACAAAATGAAACTGATTGCTGTCAGACATTTTCCTAGAGATTCCAACCATTGTCTTCGAACACATCCTGTCTCGATCTTCTTAAGCACGCTCATAGAATCACTTAAAAAGTATACATGGTAAAAATTATGTCTTAAGCCACATTGTTTTTGTTACAGCCATCTCTTCCATAGTCGGGCAATTTGTAATTGAGGCAATAAAACATGTGAAATGTGTGGGCATGTGTGTGTGCGTGCATATTAGAGGGAGGTGATGGTGATGATGAGAAATTGACCTGATTTGTTGTATATTTCAGACAATCAACACAGTATCAGAAGTGATCAGAGGCAATCATCAGAATCAAGAACACTTTGCTTCAGTTTTAGCTCCTTCTGTTCCTCCGAGGTATGGTCACTTCGAGAATTCTGTTTGCTTTGCTTAGTTCATTATTTTGAACCCAAACTTAGGTCACCTGCTTACCAATATCAGTATCTGCATTGAAAGCCCTCACCAACACTGCAGGTTCCATGGCAGAGCCATTTGTTGTTGTTGTTTGTCTGTCACAGGTAATGATGACCAGTCCTTTCACCCATCGGTTATTGGATTCGGTTTTGTGAGTGCACAGATGGCTGATAAGGCCAGTTCTAGCACTGAAAGTTCTTGAGCAGTGTGGACAGAGAATTGAGGCTGCATCTCTCTGGTGATTTGCTTCAGCGTCTTTCCTGGCTTGCCTTTTCTGAATTGCCGCTGCAGTTCTAGCGTCTTCATGGTCCACAACTCCCCGATGAAGGGAGGAGCACCAGGCAGTCATTAAATGCATGTCTATCATGCATTTAAGTTTGAATTCTTAGTAAGTTGATGGATCTGTTTTCTGTTAGGGGCACACACACACACACAAACAATCCTTAACTGCACAGTTCATTTAAGATGTTCAAGCTAGGGGGTCCTAAATCCTTAGACTCAACACCCCCTCCCTCCCCCTGGTCCTTTTCCCGTCCTACTGCTCATTACTGCTTATATTTACGAATGTTGCATCATAATCAGAGGGATTTTTGAGCCTGTTGATTCAGGGCTACCTGGCCTGTGCTGTCACCACAAACTGTGCAGGTCCAAAATTTTATTTTTGCACCTGACAGAAAAAATCCCCAACCTTAGTGAAGATTTGAACCCAGGTCTTCCTGCATGAGAGGCTTATGTTCTTAACCATTTGGACAGTTGTTTTTAGGGCACCTTAAGCATGTAGGAAATATGTGAGCCAATGTAGTGTAGTGGCTAGAAACTTGCCTGCTGGTCAGGTGTCTGGGGTTCACATCTGTTGTGGGGCATATTTTTTTTTCTTCAGAATTGACTTTGGCTCCAAGATTGATCTTGCCTACACTGGGTTCAGGGTAAAGGAAGTAAAGGCGGCTGGCACGATTTTGAACATATCACTCATTGAGTGCCTATTGGTTTAGCACTACATGCCTAGTGTGCCAAAAGTGTGAAAATGTCCTCCACTTTAGTTTTTCTGCATTTCAAGATTCACTGCCATACATCAGAACAGATTTGGCATAACATTTTAATTCACAGCGTTTATAAAAAAAATGGATTGTTTTTCTGCTGTAAATGTGATCAAAGAGGACACAGGCAACAGGCTGCACAGTTCATTGCTTTACATTTGTTAAATGTATTTAGTAAAGCAGGCAGTTATATTTGTGGTGGATTTTTGAATTTCAGTTAAAAAGATATATATATTTTTTTTTAAACGCTTCCTCTTAGTTGATTGTTACTATAGTATACTCGTGAAAATGAACTGAAATATGCCAGGCAGTAAGTTGTACAATCTAATTTCTCTTTGTTTAATGAACAGTCAGACCACATCACTGGTGCTGCACCACTGTGTGATTATTTGTTGCATGACGAGCTAGATGTGATCAAGGCTTTTAGGGATCAAGCGAACAATGCGGAAGCGCGAATAGATCATTACAGTGTGGAGAGAATGGTATGGCGGGGAGTGACCAGGGGTTTTGGTCGTCACTCTAAACTCACAGGAAAGGCAAGACGGATATATAATCTAACTGCTACTGGTACCATCCTTATTGGAACTCTTTGATGGCTGCTGAAGATGAAGACGGGGCATGTATGGGAATGTCCTGAGTGCTGTGATATCGATTCTTGATTCATGACTCCCCTTGCGGGTTCCAGGGGCTCCATTGTGGGGGAAAAAAAAGAGACCCATTGCCTCCCTAACAAGCATTTTGTTGATTGAGTTGATTAATTAGGTGGTTCCTTGTAAAGTCAGAGTGCATCTGAAGCAAGGAAACAGCATCTGCGTAAAAATAAGCCAGATCCTCAAAAATAGATGTGTACGCAAGTTTTGGAAGAAGACTAAAGTCAGTTGAGGATGAACAACCAGAACTTTCCACTGGAGTTTACAGCTGGTGAACTCAAAGAAGAAGAAGAAGGAGAAGATTCAGCTCGGCTCAATTCTTCTATGTTGAGAATTATCCACTTTGTTTCCTACAGGCCTGCAATAGTTGTCCTGCTAATGTCCATGGTCAATGAGAAGCAGCCGTTTGTGCTGAGGTGTGCAGTCTTGTATTGTTTCCAGTCATTTCTCTACAAGAATGAGGTGGGCCAGTCACAGATTATACAGACACTGCTGCCCACAACTGCTGATGGTAAGGGAGAACACACATTCCTTTTCCTTTCTTTCTTTCTTTCTGTCTGTCTTGTCTGTCTTGTCTGTCTGTCTGTCTGTCTGTTGGTCGGTCGGTCGGTGGGTGGGTGGGTCAGTCGGTCAGTGTGGTCGGTCTGTCTGTCTCTGTCTTTTTTATCTTTCTTTTCTTTTTTCTGCCACCTATCCTTTCTTTCTTCTCCTTTCTTCCTTCCTTCCTTTTTTTCTCTCTCACACTTTCCTCCTCACCCGCTCTCGTCTCCCCCTTGCCCCTGCTCATGTTTTTGTTGAATTGAACCTTAGCCTGCTCTTATCAGGCCCTTTTGACTTTTACTGTCTCTTGCAGTCCTTAAACTCTAAGCTCCAAAGTAAAAGACCCCTTTCCACACCTTCAGGCATATTGGGCATAGACGGCTAGACCTCTATTTTATAGACCAGTCAGCACTTGGTGGGTTGTATGCTCAACATCATGAATTTACCTGGTACCCATTGAAGGTTGGGTTGACCTTGGAGCCAAGGTCAGGTTTCAAAAATAGTCTGCTCTTCCACACCTCCATACAATGTTATTGTTTACAGTAATATTTCACCCGGGCGTCAGCTTTGGTCTTGTGGGACTGAAGGAATTAATCTCTTCATGTCCTTAGCCAACTCTATCACTGCTGGTCAGTTGCTGTGTGGAGGCCTCTTTAGTGCAGACCCCTTGTCTAACTGGTATGCTGCTGTTGCCTTGCTTCATGCCATTGTGGAGAACCCCACACAGAAGGAGCAGTTGCTGCGAGTACAGTTGGCCACCAGCCTGGGCAACCCTCCAGTCTCGTTACTTCAGCAGTGCTGCAACATGTTGTCTCAAGTAAGTAGTTTAGTTTTGTACTAGGATTTAGTTAGTTAATTGACTAATTGTCCTCACTGCACACCAGACTAGTCCATAAGCACTCAGATCCAGTCTCCAGTATCACTGTGTGGGTTCTGGGGCTCCATTTTGGAAAACAAAAGAATAGACCCACAAAAAGCATGCTGTAGAAGATGACTAATTAAAGGTGTTTCCTTTAAAGTCAGAGTGCATCTATCAGAGAGGCAAGGAACCAGCAATGTGCATACAAATAAGCTAGATCTGGATGTCCATGCACAACTCAAGTTCTGGATCAACCAAAGTCCAGAAGTGGATGAACAACCCTTTCAGCCTTCGTTTACATTATATTACATAATATTAAGAAGAAGAAGAAGCAAACTTTAGTATGCCCCTCAGCATGTGCTGACTGATAACATCAATTCTATGTTGTTTTACCATTCTACTTTGGCTACCTGTTTAGTGTTCATGTTTGGCAATACCTCTTTTGACCTGAAACCCTTTTACTACTAGAATAAAGTTTTCTGTGTTCGTGCAGTTGTTGCCATGCTTGGCTGAAAGTAGTTTTTATCTTATATTGGAATCTTCTTGCATCTGAACAGAACAGACCAAGTCAACATTTTTCACTTAAGCACTGGACACTGCAGACTCAACAAACACTCATATAATTTAGGTATGAGCCCAACAGCTGCTAGTGACTTTGTGCTGCACAGACTTCAGAACATGTCTTGCAAGACTGTCCTCTCCTGGCAGAGCTGTGAGCACGCTCAGTAGACCTGACAGCTAAGCTTTCAGGAACCTAAGGGACCTTGAGATGACATCCCAGTTTATGGCCGATAGTGCATTAAGCTCATGACCAGAGGCGGCTGAAGAAGAAGAATCACTTTCAGGATGGGAAATTTCATCTCAGACTAGAGGTTCCAAGTTGACTGAACCTGAAAAGGGAACAAGGAAATTTTCTAGGAAATAAAAATGACCAGTATGATATTGACCAAATCATCCATTGAGTTTCATAACCAACCAGCCAGCAGTATTTTTCATTCTCTCTCTCTCGCTCTCTTTTTCTCTTTCTCTCTCTCTCTGTCTCTCTCTGTCTCTCTGTCTCTCTCTATGTCTCTGGGTGGACTGGGGGCATTAGTTAAAGAGACAAACTGGAATATGTCATAATAACTAATGAAATTTGTGTGATTTCAAGAGCACCATGGTGTTGTGGCTAGTTGCTCGCCTGCAGATCCAAAGGCCATGGGTTCAAATCCGCATGGTGCTGGACTTTTTTCAGAAATGACCTTGGCTCCCATGTTGACTCAGCCTTATATGTGTACTAGGTAAATGTCATGGGAAGTAAAGGCAGCCGGTCTGAAACTGATCTTATAACCCACAAAGTGCCAATTGTTCAATAAAATATAGGTCTGGCCCTGTATGCTCCATATGCCTGAATAAGGGCCTTTACTCTTTGTGATTTCAAAGTAGTTTGGAGTAATAATAGATAGGTCCAATGTAAAAATAAAGGACTCTTTTCCACACCGTTGGGCATAGAGAGCGATACCTCTGTTTGTCCCACTAAGTGGGTGATGTGGTCAACATCACACCAGCTGCCTTTACTTCCCAAGATTTAAACCCTCGACCTTCAGGCCTAAGGTGAGCGTCTAGCCGCTACACCACGGAGGCATCTATAGTTTCACTGTGCTGTTTAAAAAAAAAAGCAACTTTGAATGAACCGGTAAATCAACATCAAGCAGATAGTCATCATGCAGAATGTTTATTACATAAAATGATGCTTTGCCATGTATAGTTAAAAAGTTACGAATCCTTTACAGGCCATTGCAGAACAAACCCCAGTATTTTATTTTTACTGTTGTGGTTTTTCTAGGCAAATTTACGTCCAGTAGTTTGCCATTGCTTTCTGGACATTTGGCTTTTTGATACCACTGCCGAACCCAACACAAGGCGCAAAGCTTGCAGCTGGGGTCAAATCCAGCACCCCGGCATTATGAAGCGCGTTCACAACACCTAAGCCACAGATGCCGACTGCCATGTATAAACAATCTCTATTTGTGATCCTCTCCAGGGAGGTAAGCTGCAGACCAGGATTGGCCTTCTGATGATCTTGTGTGGTTGGCTGGCTGATTGCCCCCTTGCTGTCTCCCACTTCCTCAACACAGCTGCCAATGTTCCTTTTGTATCCTCTTGCTAGTTCAGCAGTGCTAATGATTGAATGCTTGCTAGTTCAGCAGTGCTAATGATTGAATGCTTGCTAGTTCAGCAGTGCTAATGATTGATTGCTTGCTAGTTCAGCAGTGCTAATGATTGATTGCTTGCTAGTTCAGCAGTGCTAATGATTGATTGCTTGCTAGTTCAGCAGTGCTAATGATTGATTGCTTGCTAGTTCAGCAGTGCTAATGATTGAATGCTTGCTAGTTCAGCAGTGCTAATGATTGATTGCTTGCTAGTTCAGCAGTGCTAATGATTGAATGCTTGCTAGTTCAGCAGTGCTAATGATTGAATGCTTGCTAGTTCAGCAGTGCTAATGATTGAATGCTTGCTAGTTCAGCAGTGCTAATGATTGAATGCTTGCTAGTTCAGCAGTGCTAATGATTGAATGCTTGCTAGTTCAGCAGTGCTAATGATTGAATGCTTGCTAGTTCAGCAGTGCTAATGATTGATTGCTTGCTAGTTCAGCAGTGCTAATGATTGAATGCTTGCTAGTTCAGCAGTGCTAATGATTGAATGCTTGCTAGTTCAGCAGTGCTAATGATTGAATGCTTGCTAGTTCAGCAGTGCTAATGATTAAATGCTTGCTAGTTCAGCAGTGCTAATGATTGAATGCTTGCTAGTTCAGCAGTGCTAATGATTGATTGCTTGCTAGTTCAGCAGTGCTAATGATTGAATGCTTGCTAGTTCAGCAGTGCTAATGATTGAATGCTTGCTAGTTCAGCAGTGCTAATGATTGAATGCTTGCTAGTTCAGCAGTGCTAATGATTGAATGCTTGCTAGTTCAGCAGTGCTAATGATTGAATGCTTGCTAGTTCAGCAGTGCTAATGATTGAATGCTTGCTAGTTCAGCAGTGCTAATGATTGATTGCTTGCTAGTTCAGCAGTGCTAATGATTGAATGCTTGCTAGTTCAGCAGTGCTAATGATGCTATTGATTGCTTGCTAGTTCAGCAGTGCTAATGATTGAATGCTTGCTAGTTCAGCAGTGCTAATGATTGAATGCTTGCTAGTTCAGCAGTGCTAATGATTGAATGCTTGCTAGTTCAGCAGTGCTAATGATTGATTGCTTGCTAGTTCAGCAGTGCTAATGATTGATTGCTTGCTAGTTCAGCAGTGCTAATGATTGAATGCTTGCTAGTTCAGCAGTGCTAATGATTGATTGCTTGCTAGTTCAGCAGTGCTAATGATTGAATGCTTGCTAGTTCAGCAGTGCTAATGATTGAATGCTTGCTAGTTCAGCAGTGCTAATGATTGAATGCTTGCTAGTTCAGCAGTGCTAATGATTGATTGCTTGCTAGTTCAGCAGTGCTAATGATTGATTGCTTGCTAGTTCAGCAGTGCTAATGATTGAATGCTTGCTAGTTCAGCAGTGCTAATGATTGATTGCTTGCTAGTTCAGCAGTGCTAATGATTGAATGCTTGCTAGTTCAGCAGTGCTAATGATTGAATGCTTGCTAGTTCAGCAGTGCTAATGATTGAATGCTTGCTAGTTCAGCATGATTGAATGCTAATGATTGAATGCTTGCTAGTTCAGCAGTGCTAATGATTGAATGCTTGCTAGTTCAGCAGTGCTAATAATGATAGATTGCTTGCTAGTTCAGCAGTGCTAATGATTGAATGCTTGCTAGTTCAGCAGTGCTAATGATTGATTGCTTGCTAGTTCAGCAGTGCTAATGATTGAATGCTTGCTAGTTCAGCAGTGCTAATGATTGAATGCTTGCTAGTTCAGCAGTGCTAATGATTGATTGCTTGCTAGTTCAGCAGTGCTAATGATTGAATGCTTGCTAGTTCAGCAGTGCTAATGATTGAATGCTTGCTAGTTCAGCAGTGCTAATGATTGATTGCTTGCTAGTTCAGCAGTGCTAATGATTGAATGCTTGCTAGTTCAGCAGTGCTAATGATTGAATGCTTGCAGTTAACAACTTTCATGTTGTTATAGTTTGATATTCTTTTATTATATAGTTGTATCATTCTCCCTAAGCATTGTGTGTTGATGAATGATTTTAGCAACATACATTTTGTTATTTATAATTGTATTTTGTTGAGAAGGAGCCACCTTGGTGTAGCAGCTAGATGCTTGCCTGTGCATCCAAAAATCATGGGTTCAGGTCTTACAGGAACCGGACATTAAAAAAAAATGACCTTGGCTTCCAGGTTGACCAGGTAATATCCTGGGAAGTAAAGGGGCTGGCGTAATGTTGACTGCATCACTCATTGAGTTCCAGTTGGTCTGTAAAATATGTCTAGCTTTATATGCCCAGTATGTCTAAAGGCATGGAAGGATCTTTTATTTTACTTACTGCTTCTGTTGGGATGCTGTCTAGAACTGCTTCTGTTGGGAAGCTGTCTAGAACTACTTCTTATATAGATTATGTCAAAGTATACAACTTAGTCTGTTATTGAGAGCCTGTTCGTCAGCTGTTGGTGAAATCGTTTCTATACTAAGCAAACTGCCATAGGTGTAATAAATGGGCATCGTAATTCCGAGGTACCCTGTTCGATTCCAGCTGTGGGCGATTTGGCAGTAAACCGCCTTGTGTTGACTTTGAAGGGGTGTCGAGATCCGACCATTTATTTAGTTGAACTTTGCTGCTAGTTTTCTACTGGATCAGCTAGCCAGTCTCATGTCAACCCTCTTTAATTGCCTCTTAGGACATGGTGCTAAGTTTAAGTTCTTCACTGTTCTTGTCTCAAGTCAAAAGGGGTTAAGCCAGAAATGAGCCCTGAGCAGGAAGTCAAACAAGAATAGTTAACTCTTTTGGTCTCAAAACATTTTATATAAAAATCATTATTGTTTCTATTAAATATTTCCCTCAAAATTCTAACCACTTGCTGTATTATAGGAATGGAAAATAAATGAATGAAACCTCTGTGGTTGCCAGATTTATTTTAGTATACACTGACCAAAACTTAGAGGACACTAAATGTGATGTGTGGGACATGTTTGGGATTGAACGAGTTGACCAACACAGATGTGGGTTTGTCACTGAGGAGTATACTTAGGTTGTCTGGCCCTAATACACTGAATGGTTCCATGTGCAGTGAAGATGATCTGGTGACGGACTGTGTCTCTTATGATGGATCATCACTCCCTGGAAAGAATGTTGTAGCATGGATTTACTAGGGAATCTTGTTGACAGTCTACACTCAGAGGAGAGGCAAGATGAACATACAGTCAGACTGCTACGGGTACCTTTGACATTGAAACTCTGCACTGGCCACCAAAGGGGCAAATGAAGCACTTATGGGAAAATCTTGAGTGATGTGATGTTGATTCTCAGCTCTTTCAGTTCCAAACGATTTCACAGTAGATGTTAAACAGCTTCAGTGACCATAGAAAAGAAAGCATGACCAAATACAATCAGAAGAGCAACTATTCATAAATAGGGGGAGACTTTAAATGCGTCTTCTTACTTATTTCGTTTTGTAATAAGGCCCTTCCTATCCATATTTGTCTTCTCCTGTTACATATTTTTTTTGTTTCTTGTTGACCTTGATTGAAATGTTCAGTTGCATTTGTGCGCACCTTTTCTATTCTCTCCGCTGAACTTTCTAGGCACATTTTATGTTTGTCCTAAACGAGTTAACTAAATTCAGCTTAATTCAGTTTGTCCCAGAGGAATTAACTACATTCAGCTTAATTCAGTTTGTCTTAGAGGAGTTAACTAAATTCAGCTTAATTTAGTTTTTCCCAGATGGGTTAACTACATTCAGCTTAATTCAGTTGTTCAAAATGAGTTAAAATATTTCAACTTGACTCAGTTTCTCCCATATGAGTTAAGTCAATTAATCTTAACTCATTTCTGTTATGTTTCCTGGTAACACATGTTCTGCATATGTCCTGTTAGATTTCTTTAACTGAGTTCTCTCAGCTGATATCTCAAATATCCTCTAGTGAAGGGGATGAACAGGAGACCATCATCCATGGATTGTGTGCCTTCCTGCTTGGTGTCTGCATGCTGTATAACGATGACCGCAATGAGGCCTTCTCCAAGTATGTCAGATTTTTTTTAATTAAAAAAAAAAAATTTCAGTTATGTGTGTCTGATTTTGTGTGTGGCTGTCATTGGGTCCGTCAGTCTTTTGTGAGTTAGTCTACCTGTCTATGTTTAACTATCAGTGTGCCTGACTGTTTATCCATTTGTGCGTCTGCTTGCACATGTAAATGTGGGTGCACTATTTCCCTGCCTGTTGAACTGTGTCTGCCTGTTTTTTTGGGTCTGCATTAGGCATAACTGTCTGCTCGACTGTCTGTCTGCCCATTGTCTGTCTGTCCACGGTCTGTCTGTGTCCTTATTTGTGCATCTGTGTGCGTGTCTGTCTTATTCTCTCTATACTTGCCTGCATGTCTGTGTGTCAAACTATCTGCCTACTGTCTGTGTGCTTATCTTTGAGTATGTGTCTCTGTCCAGTTGTTCGTTAATGTTACTGAAGTAGCCAGCAAGTCATTTGAAGGATACAACACATGCTGAAGACAACGATACAAACATAACATCATAAGATCACATCTAGCATCTTCTTATTACGGACTGATTCCTTTCTGCATGTATGGGTTCTGTGGCTCTTTTTTTTGGGACAAGAAAAGGATAGACTCGCTGCCACCCTAACAAGCATCACATAAAAAGCAGCTAACTTTCCACTGAAATCAGATGTGTTGAGTTGAAATGGCGCAGATGTTGCAGCCTCACTGTAAACCCCATTGTGTGCCAGCTATTTTTTTAAGAGTGAATGCTAAAGAAGAAGTTGAAGGCAAAATACAGCATGAAGATGATGTATATGATGCTGTATGCATTATCAAATCAAACTTCATCTTATAAATCAGTGGTTTTCAGCCTTTTTTTTTTCTTCTTTAGAAAAGGCCCCATTTAATACATGGCAAGATCCTCTCCCCCAATCCCAAACTTAATCTGTAATTAAATCCACATGTTTTCATATTCTTTTGCTTTTTAACAGTAATGTACAGTCTGCTGATGGAAACAAAAACATTTTTAGCTTTGTGATTTATAAATAGTTCCAACAATATTTTGCTAATAGTTAAACTGAACAAAAAGGTAAAGGTAAAGTTGGGAGATGTAAACCAGCATCATTGCACACGATTATAAACCATAAATGCTCTGGCACCAGTACGGACAGCTGATAAGAATTGTCCGCCTGTATCGCCGTCCGCATGTAACTCTGTGGCTACAGCGACGCTCCTCCATTTACCCCAGAGTGTTAACTCTGGTACCCATTTCCTAGAGGCTGAGTGAACCCCGGGAGCCACCCGGTTTCAAACACCGACCGTGGGCTGCAGCGAGTCGCAGCTGGATTTAAAAGCGAGCCTTTTATTGACTGCACTAACGCGGCCCCGCTAAACTGAACAAATTTAAGAAAAACAGATTATTACAAGTACACCTCATTTTAGAAATTTCATGATTCCCCCCCTTTTCCCTCAAAAACTTCTTTGCCTCCACACCGCAGGTTGAAATCCACTGTTGTAGACTGATTCATTTCAGTAGTACTTCTTTGTGTCCTGCAGGAGCTCCCTGAAACAGATCATACAGAACCGAATTGGGCTGGAGTCATTCTCTGATAAACTGATACAGGTGGCACAGAATGAAAACTACACAAGAGCAGCCAAGAAGCCCCACCTTAACTACAAGCATCCCAGTGAGATTGTCTTTGACTATGAATTCACCAGGCTGTTTAAAAGCCTCGAGAGTGAGTAAAATCACTGTCATAAGTAAAGTCTTCTTCTTTTTCTTTTTCTTCTGCCTTTTTAACCTCCACTGGAGCATAGACCCTCAACCAACTCACGCCAAGTCATTCTATCCTTCGCTATCGCATGCAGCTCTCCCTCATGTCCTCCCTATCTTTTTAACTTCACTCTCTAGCTCTCTTCTCTATGTGTTTAAATCAAGGATACGTTTTCCCCACCATGGTGCACCAGGCAACAAATCATTGCCTCTTTCTCATGAAGTTAAGTTACCTTCGTGCCTTTATCTCTTTCAAAACATCTTGATTACTCATTTTCACTCATTTTCACTGTTTAAAAATCTCCAATTGTCCAGGATTCAGTTATAAGTTAACCCTTTCAGTCCCAAGCCGCTGTTATTTTTGCATTAGTTTAGCTTCTTCTAACTCAAAGAGTTAAGCTTAAAAAAGTATTAAATACTTCACTTATAAAGGAGGTCAGCCCCACCCCCTCCACCCTCCCACCCACACATACGCACACTCACACACATGCACGTGCACACACACACACACAGAGAAGAGAGAGAGAGAGAGAGAGAGAGAGAGAGAGAGAGAGAGAGAGTTTTCCAGTAACAGGGATTTACTGTATGATATTTTTAATTTAAAAAAAAAAATAAAACCCTGAGAGTTCAAGTTAGTAAAAAAAAAAAAAAAAAAATTACACCCCAGTGAGGGTTCCGACATGATTACCAGATCAGGGGCATGCAGGCTAGCTACCAGGTCACTTTTAAGAATCTGTTTGATGGGAGTTTGGAGAAAAGTGGGACTTGACATCCCTGTGTGAGTTCCCGGGCTCTAGTTTGTAAGGACCAGAACTAGACCACCCTCCCCCCCTCTCAACAATCATGTAGCAACAGCTGACTAATTAGGGGTTTGCTTCCCCTTGTGGGTTCCAGGACCCCACTGGGGGGTAGAAGGGGTGGGGGGGGGGGGGGAGAATAAACAAACTGGTTCTTAACTAGCAAGTGGTAAAAGGTGACTGACTAAGGATTTACTCTTTGGCTGAAAATCACATGTATCTCAGCATAGCTGTAAACCACAATACAGCTGACCTTTTCAGGGTGAACAAAAGAAGAACAAAGGGGTAGACCGATTCCCATGAAAGTTACACCTCGACTGTGGGTAAACCTGTTCTCCTAGGATTTAGAAACATGTGCAGAAGCATTCTAAGGGAATGCTGAAGTCAGATATTTTAGATCCAAAGGTGTAGAAATTGCATCCTTGCTGTGAACCACAGCACAATGTGCCAACCACATTTTGCATGGTGGAATGTAAAAGAAGATGGAAAAAAAACGAGACGTGACATGAAATAATACAAATACGTATCCGTTCTACAGATGAGATCCTCAAGGCTGTATCAGGAAAAGGTAGCAGGATTAACGGCAGGAAAGTGTCTGGCACTAGTTCTGAGGAGTACAAACATTTACTGAAGGAACAAGAGGACACTGTGTTCAGTTTACGACAGAGAGTGGAAGAATTGCAGGCTCATAATTTTACTGCAGATAAAACAATATCCGATCTAAGAGGTCAAGTGCAGTTGTTGAAAGACCAGAATGCCTTGTTGAAGGCTCAGAAAGGTAAAGCTTTAAACATTTGTGAAGTTTCTTCTTCTTCTTTCATTCGCTTGTTTCAGGTACCAATCCACATGTGCACATGGCTGATTCGCTAGTTTTAAATTTTGTTTACATGTGTTGTCAGGGTTTGTAGCCGACCAGGAAACTTGAAATTAATGGTGGAATTGTGGCCCCGACCTTGAGCCTTGTTTTTTTTACCTTAGAAAAGACATTCTGTCCGTGAATAGCCTTGCATTTTGACCGCCACAGTAAAGTCGTCGGAAGACTTGTGATTTTTAACAGTTAGGTTTTTTTGGGGGCTGTTTGGCTAGTTTTGGCTACTTTCGTTCGTTTACGGTCATTTCAGGTATGAGGGCAGTTGTTTATTGGCTTTTTTCAGCTGAAATGGCTTGTTAAAAGCTAGGGAAAGGTGGCTGTGTTGCAGCCCATGGATACATGCAGACAGCAGCGCGTGGCTTGAGGCGGGAAGGAGCAGCCACCTCTTGTTAGCATTTGTTTCTAGCTAGTCCTGCAGTAATAATAGTATAAACAGCTGCAGGGCTGTGGTTTCTGGAAACAAGGATTACATTGGGAGATGGTGGGGCTAAGCAAAGTGACATCAGCTGGATTTCCCAGTTCTTTTCTTTTAGCATAGTTTATCTTTACAGTGTGTTCGGCGATCAACATTGTAATTCCCCCCAGTTTCCCTCTTCTGTTCTCTCACCTCTCTCTGTCTCTCTCTCTCTCTCTCTCTCTCTCTCTCTCTCTCTGTCTCTCTCTCTGTCTCTCTCTGTCTCTCTCTCTCTCTCTCTCTCTCTCTCTCTCTCTCTCCCTCCCCCCCTCCCTCTTTCACTCTTCTACCTCTTGCTCCCTCATTCCCGTCTCCTGCATTGTCTCTCATCCTCTCCTCTGATCTTCATCTTATTCTCTTTCTCTCTATCTTTCCTTTTACTCTCTCATTTCTTGTATCTCCCCCTCCTCCCCCTTTTTTCTAATTTTATTTCTATGTTTAAATGTTTACTAAATGTGCTGTTTCATAACTCTTTCACTAGTAAGTGACAAGTACAAAGGAAGTTGTGTTATGGTTGGTGGTGGGGGGGGGGGGGGGGGGGGGGGGGGGGGGGGGGGGGGGGGGGGGGGGGGGGGGGGAGGGGGGGATTTCAGCTTGAACCTGGTGGATATTTTCTTTTGATGTCCGTTTTGTCTTTTGATGTGTGTGTGTGTGTTTTTTTTTTTGGGTTTGTTAGCGGGCCTTAATTTCTGTCCAATAAAAATTTGAATTTTTCCTGAGACTGAATTAATCATTTTCTCTCAATTTTTTATGGGAGAATTCCTTTGGCACACCTCCTGTTTGGTATACATTCAAAATCTGAACTGAGTTAAGGACACCATTGTATTTAGAATGTTGAACTTATTAAACTGTTGCTACTTTTGTTGTTGAGATTACTCTGATGCTGCTACATCTAAGATAATTCAATTTCTACTACTTCTGTTGTGAAGGTAACTATTTTTGCATCTTCAGTTGTGATGAATACAGTATTACCACTTCTGTTGTTGCAGCATTCTTCCTGTACTCCATGCCTTGTAGTGTTGGTAGTCATGTCCACAGCCTTCTGTCTCATGTGCTTCCAGTCACTTCTGACACAGATGATCTTCCAAGCCGTGATGTCAAACTGTCCAGCATCTATTCTCTCTTGGTATCCCACTGCCTCTTCTTCCCTCCAACTTTGCCACCATCACGATGTACACCATATTTCTCCCTCTCGTGATATAATCAAAGAATGAAAATTGTCTCTGTCTGATTTAGGCAGTCAGTTCTCTTGATGAGTCATTTGTTGCAGTAAATAAAATAAAAGTAAAGCACCCTTTTCCATGCCTTCAGGCATATTGGGCATATAGGGCTAGACCTATATTTTATAGACCAGTCTGTACTCCTGTACTCAGCTGGTGATGTGGCCAACATCACGCTGGCCACTTTTACTTTACAGGACTGCACCGGGTAGCCATTTAAGGCTGGATCGACCTTGGAGCCAAGGTAATTTTTGAAAAAAGTCTGCCTCCGTGAGGACACAAACCCATGACCTTCTGATCCACAGGCGAGCATCTAGCGGCTACACCACAGCGTTTTGCAGTAAATAATCAAAATATTACCTTTTGTTGTTGAAGTAACCAAATCTATTACTGTTTCTCCAGCTGTTACGTCTGCATCAGGAGAAGAACTGGAAAGCTTGAGGAGGGAAGTAGAGAACCTAAGACTGCAGCTACATGACAGGGATGTCAGACTTCTGGCATCTGTGAGTTGTTGTTGTAGTGTGTCACATCACAGCGTCTGTGTGGAGATTTTTTATGCTTCCTGTCAGTGGTCAACATTATACAATGTACAGTTTATCAGTGGTCAGCTTCATACAGTGTACAGTTTATCAGTAGTCAACTTCATACAGTGTACAGTTTATCAGTGGTCAGCTTCATACAGTGTACAGTTTATCAGTGGTCAACTTCATACAGTGTACAGTTTATCAGTGGTCAGCTTCATACAGTGTACAGTTTATCAGTGGTCAGCTTCATACAGTGTACAGTTTATCAGTGGTCAGCTTCATACAGTGTACAGTTTATCAGCGGTCAGCTTCATAGTGTACAGTTTATCAGTGGTCAGCTTCATAGTGTATAGTTTATCAGTGGTCAGCTTCATACAGTGTACAGTTTATCAGTGGTCAGCTTCATACAGTGTACAGTTTATCAGTGGTCAGCTTCATAGTGTACAGTTTATCAGTGGTCAGTTTCATAGTGTATAGTTTTTCAGTGGTCAAATTCTTGACTGATGAACTCAAAAAGTCTTGGGTTTAAATCTGCACTGAGATAGATTAAAAACAAAAATAATCTGTGTTGGCATCATCCATGTCAGTCGAATACCAAAATTGGTACCCTGTGTACACAGTTTAACATATAAATAGCTGAGCCAGGGTGTGCTCAGTGACTCCCTCTATCCATATTCTTCTAAGTGTTCCTCTGCATCTTGCCGTGCTATATGCTCCCACTGCCACCATCACTGCAGTCAATCTCAAAAGCTGGCTGAACCATTTCAACTTAAAAAAAAAAAAATCATTGAATTTAACGATCAGAAAAGCAAAAGCTTTTCTATTCTCGTCATTTCTCAGTCTCTTCTAGTTTTGTTCACAGTCTTTCTCAAACATCACATTTCACAAGTGGTTAGTTGTCTGTGAGATATATGACCAGTTCTCCTGCTCTATATGACCAGTTTTCCTGCTCTATATGATCAGTTCTCCTGCTCTATATGACCAGTTTTCCTGCTCTATATGATCAGTTCTCCTGCTCTATATGACCAGTTTTCCTGCTCTATATGATCAGTTCTCCTGCTCTATATGACCAGTTCTCCTGCTCTATATGACCAGTTCTCCTGCTCTATATGATCAGTTCTCCTGCTCTATATGATCAGTTCTCCTGCTCTATATGACCAGTTCTCCTGCTCTATATGATCAGTTCTCCTGCTCTATATGACCAGTTCTCCTGCTCTATATGATCAGTTCTCCTTCTGTATATGATCAGTTCTCCTGCTCTATATGATCAGTTCTCCTGCTCTATATGACCAGTTCTCCTGCTCTATATGATCAGTTCTCCTGCTCTATATGATCAGATCTCCTGCTCTATATGATCAGTTCTCCTGCTCTATATGACCAGTTCTCCTGCTCTATATGATCAGTTCTCCTGCTCTATATGATCAGTTCTACTGCTCTATATGCCCAGTTCTACTGCTCTATATGACCAGTTCTCCTGCTCTATATGACCAGTTCTCCTGCTCTATATGACCAGTTCTCCTGCTCTATATGACCAGTTCTCTGCTCTATATGATCAGTTCTACTGCTCTATATGCCCAGTTCTCCTGCTCTATATGATCAGTTCTCCTGCTCTGTATGATCAGTTCTCCTGCTCTATATGATCAGTTCTCCTGCTCTATATGATCAGTTCTCCTGCTCTATATGATCAGTTCTCCTGCTCTATATGATCAGTTCTCCTGCTGTATATGATCAGTTCTCCTGCTCTATATGATCAGTTCTCCTGCTGTATATGATCAGTTCTCCTGCTCTATATGATCAGTTCTCCTGCTCTATATGATCAGTTCTCCTGCTGTATATGATCAGTTCTCCTGCTCTATATGATCAGTTCTCCTGCTCTATATGATCAGTTCTCCTGCTCTATATGACCAGTTCTCCTGCTCTATATGACCAGTTCTCCTGCTCTATATGATCAGTTCTCCTGCTCTATATGACCAGTTCTCCTGCTCTATATGACCAGTTCTCCTGCTCTATATGATCAGTTCTCCTGCTCTATATGACCAGTTCTCCTGCTCTATATGACCAGTTCTCCTGCTCTATATGATCAGTTCTCCTGCTCTATATGACCAGTTCTCCTGCTCTTTATGACCAGTTCTCCTGCTCTATATGACCAGTTCTCCTGCTCTATATGATCAGTTCTCCTGCTCTATATGATCAGTTCTCCTGCTCTATATGACCAGTTCTCCTGCTCTATATGATCAGTTCTCCTGCTCTATATGATCAGTTCTCCTGCTCTATATGATCAGTTCTCCTGCTCTATATGATCAGTTCTCCTGCTCTTTATGATCAGTTCTCCTGCTCTATATGATCAGTTCTCCTGCTCTTTATGACCAGTTCTCCTGCTCTATATGATCAGTTCTCCTGCTCTATATGACCAGTTTTCCTGCTCTATATGACCAGTTCTCCTGCTCTATATGACCAGTTTTCCTGCTCTATATGATCAGTTCTCCTGCTCTATATGACCAGTTCTCCTGCTCTATATGACCAGTTCTCCTGCTCTATATGATCATTTCTCCTGCTCTATATGATCATTTCTCCTGCTCTATATGATCAGTTCTCCTGCTCTGTATGATCAGTTCTCCTGCTCTGTATGATCATTTCTCCTGCTGTATATGATCATTTCTCCTGCTCTGTATGATCAGTTCTCCTGCTCTGTATGATCAGTTCTCCTGCTCTATATGATCAGTTCTCCTGCTCTATATGACCAGTTCTCCTGCTCTTTATGATCAGTTCTCCTGCTCTATATGATCAGTTCTCCTGCTCTATATGACCAGTTCTCCTGCTCTTTATGACCAGTTCTCCTGCTCTTTATGACCAGTTCTGCTCTTTATGACCAGTTCTCCTGCTCTATATGATCAGTTCTCCTGCTCTATATGACCAGTTCTCCTGCTCTATATGACCCGTTCTCCTGCTCTATATGATCAGTTCTCCTGCTCTATATGATCAGTTCTCCTGCTCTATATGATCAGTTCTCCTGCTCTATATGATCAGTTCTCCTGCTCTATATGACCAGTTCTCCTGCTCTTTATGACCAGTTCTCCTGCTCTTTATGACCAGTTCTCCTGCTCTTTATGACCAGTTCTCCTGCTCTATATGATCAGTTCTCCTGCTCTATATGACCAGTTCTCCTGCTCTATATGACCCGTTCTCCTGCTCTATATGATCAGTTCTCCTGCTCTATATGATCAGTTCTCCTGCTTTATATGACCCGTTCTCCTGCTCTTTATGTTATCCTGTTTGATCTAATTGCTCTGTTCCATTACTTAGAACTCTGCTAATTTCACCCCCATCATCAGAAAGCAGCAGTAATTTCTTTTTGACCAATTATGAGAAGAAAGAAGGTGGAACAACTGAAAAGATTTTTGAAAGGAAGATAGCAGACGACAAGGAGAGGCACTTTGACAGTCACCTAAGTGTTGAATACGTCTTTCAAGAAAATTACATTTGAACATTTAAATCTCTATTAAAAATGTTTTGTTTTGTAAAAGAGTAATATTTAATTCTGTCCTATTTTGAGTAAGAATTTACATGTATGTTTTTGGCATATTGTAAAGTGACAAATGGCGGTACTGAAAAGGCACTTTGGTGAAAATCGCAAGCATTCCACATAGGTAACTTTGCTATTTATGTTAATCTTTGAAGAGAATAGCCATAAATTATGGATTTTGGGGGATACAAACTGTAAGTCTCAGGCTAGTTCCGATTGCTATTTGTGAATTGTGTGTGTGTCTGGTAATCTGGTAATCCTAGTTTCAGCTTCATAGCAAACGGGTCACCACACAGTTGCTCTGCTCCTGTGCCAACAAAAAAGAAATGCAGCTCACAGTGTCACGCCATGCACTCAACTCAGAAGCTGGATGATGAAACTACTTCTGTGTGTGTGTGTATGTGTGTGTGTGCGTGCATGGCCCCCTCCCTTCCCCACCATGGCAAAGGTGACTTTCAGCAAAATGCAAAAGATTCTCACCAATAAGATGTTACTTGCAATCAGAAAAAGAGTGTTAAAAGTGTTATCTAGAACCCGTGTTGTTCTACACATGTGAATCATGGACAAGTTTAAAAGCTTTAACAGAGATGTGGTTTCTGGAAATAATGCACAAAATATCAAGAAAAGATAGAAAAATGAAGCAATCCTCATCGAGACAGCTGATAGTGGTAAAGTTAGTAGAAAAATTAGAGGTATTAAATATTAGATTAATAAATTTTATTTTATTATAATTAGATGTTTCTTTGTATAGATGTAGACAGTCAGTATGTTTTAGATATGTTATGAGCAGGAATGGACTTGAGAAATGGCTAGGCTGACGAAAAGAGAGCACGAGGAAGACAAAGAGATAAATACCTGGATGGCCTTATGAAACTACCCCTACGAAACTGTTGACCACCATCTCTTTGACTGCCCAAAACTCAGCGAGACTAGAAGAATGCTACTTCCTCCGAGACCAGACAAGTGAAACACTTTGTACGGAGGGAAAAAAACAGCTTGTGAAAACATGCAAATTCCACTACATGGCATTGGGCCAAAGGGCGAAAGCTCATGCTCCGCTGGTTCAGTAACAACAACAACAACTTGGATGGCCTGGCCAGATGGATAGGGCGACTCAAAAACATTGAAATAATTTGTACTTCTGGTGATCATTTGAGATGGTGAAACATGACAGCTTATGCTCACTAGCACGGCGCATGATGATTATGACACACCATAAATGTTAGAAAAAAAAAAAAATAACCGGTACTCACAACAAAGCATCTATTACAGTATAGCTGAAACAAATAAGCCTAAACAAAAAAGTGCAGGTACAGTGCACCGCTGCGTACTGTCAGAAAAAATACACATGCCCTGGTCATTTACTTTGTATCTCCCTAAAATTGTTAAATTCTTTTCCCTTCAGTCCTTTGAAAATGAGAACAAAGAAAACATTCCTGATGGAGCAGTACATCTG